GATTATTTTTATTAGCTATATATATATATATATGAGAAATTTAAATTAAAGAGACTAAAAATATAGGAGAGGACAATTATATATTTTCTTTTTCAATTAATACAGTCCACGAACCCTTCTCCCTTTGAATCCTAGTGGATTGTCCTTAGCATGTTAATTACATTCATACAACAATTATTCTTACATTATTAAAAAGGTGTTATTTTTCTGCGAATTTTTTTATAAAAAAAATATTTTCAGAAATTTTTTACAAATTTTCTTGCAATAATAATTTTGTAAATTTTTTTTACGAATTTATTTATAAAAAATAATTTACAGATATTTCTTACAAATATTTTTACGAAAAATAATTTACAAGAAAGTTTTGCAAATTTTGCTACAATTTTAATGATCATAGAAATTTTTTTCCATGGTAAAAATTTACAGAAAATATTGTAAGAATTTTATTTTGTTTCTTGCAAATTTTCTTGCAAAAATAAATTCGCAAGTAATATTTACTAAATGGTAGAAAAAATTTACTGGTAACTTTTCCTGCGGATTTTCCTGGAAATTTTAATCCGCAGGAAAAATAAAAAAAATTAAATTTATAAGTTTAATATTTTAAAAAAACTTCAATTCCCACATCGATTGAAAATAAAACAATTAAAGAGTATATAAGTTGGGACAATACTTACCTTACAAGTTGATTTGTATGGTTGAGTGTTAGGCTTATAATCTACAATCTTAGAATTTAAAAGATTATGTATCACGTGTTGGAGGCATGAAAACAAATGTTTCGGATGAATTCATTGTGAGCATTTGAAATTTGAAGAATTATTGATAGAATTTATAGTAATTTCTTTAATTTTTTTTCTAAAAAATATTCCTGCAAAATTTCTTGCGAAAAAATTCACAGGAAACTTTCTTGCGATTTTTTTTGCAGGAAACTTTCTTGCAAAAATTGTTTTGCAAGAAATTTTGCAGGAAAACTTCTTACGAATTTTAAAATTCGCAAAAATATATTATCTACGAACGTGCAGATAAAATTTCGTAGAAAAATTTGTAAGAACAATGTTTCCTGTGAATTTTTCATAAAAATTCTCAGAAAAAGTCGCATATAATAAGATAAATTCTAGTAGTGTTAAAAAATGACAATTCCTCTATGCCCCATTAATCTCATTCTAAACCTAACAAATTATTATTAACTAGGGAGTAACATCTAGGGTTAGAAAAAATAATGATGTTGAAAATTTTTATGACTAATAATTTGGAAACTTTGAATGAACATAAATAGGATATGGTCACAGGGGGAACTGATACATCCTCAAATACAATTGAGTTTGCAATAGCAGAAATGATGCACAAGCCAGAGGTAATGATGAGAGTCAAAGAGGAGTTGGAATTTGTTGTAGGGACAGATAACAAAGAGTCTCACATTCCTAAGTTGTCCTATTTGCAAGCTGTGATGAAAGAAACACTTCGATTGCACCCTGTACTTCCACTTCTGATCCCTCATAGCCCTAGTGAAACCACCATTGTGGGTGGCTACACAATTCCAAAGGGGTCTCGAATGTTTTTAAATGTGTGGGCTATTCACAGAAACCCTTCAAGTTGGGAGAAACCACTCGAATTTGATCCAACAAGATTCTTAAATGCCAAATGGGATTATAGTGGCAATGACTTCAATTATTTTCCTTTTGGATCTGGAAGAAGAATTTGTGCAGGAATAGCAATGGCTGAGAGGACAGTTTTATATTTTCTTGCCATACTTATGCACTTATTTGATTGGACAATACCTCAAGGACAAAAATTAGATGTTTCAGAAAAATTTGGCATTGTTCTAAAAAAGAAAGTTCCTCTTGTTGTCATCCCCACTCAACGATTATCCAACCCAAATCTTTATCATTGAATACATGTACAATATGTATTGATATTCAACACTTAAACGATCCTTTATCCTACATATTTGTATTTTATTATGTTATTTACTTAACTCAAGTTTAGACATTGAGCAATAAACATGAATTTGTTATTTGCTTTCATCTCAAATTCTTTTACCAAGCGAATTATTTACTATTTGTACAGCTTGAATAATAGGGTTTGGAAGTATAACATTACTTTGGTGTCCCCATATAATGATATGATGTTGAAAAATTATAGAATAATTGGTAATCATTTCATTTTAATTCCCAAATTTCAAATCACTTTAACTGTTAGAAGGGGTATGTTCGCATATATGTCAAGTGTGTTTTGCAATGTATTGGAAGGACTTATGAGCTAGTTTGACAAAAATGAGCTTATTTGGTATAAGGGTTTGGTTTATCAATTTCTAGATTATTTTTATTAGCTATTTAAATTAACTAATTATGAAAAATAAGCTAGCTTAAAGTTATTAGCTTTTTATTTTATTTTTTATTTTTATCTTCATTAATTATTTGAAATCTTTTTTAATTCAAATAACTAATATTTATATCATTTTATATTTGGTATGAGGGTTTGGTTTATTAACTTCTAGATTATTTTTATAAGCTATTTTAATTAACTAATTATGAAAAATAAGCTATAGCTTAAAGTTATTAGCTTTTTATTTTAGTTTTTATTTTTATCTTCATTAATTATTTGAAATCTTGTTTAGTTCAAATAACTAATATTTATAACATTTTATATTTATGTCTTTTGATGAATTAAATCATACATATTTAACATACTTATAAATATATACAAATTTTTTACAGTCATTAGGATAGGTTTTTTCATGAAAATAATAATTTTACGATTCGAGATAAAGAATTATATTTTTTTGGATAATTTTTTATAAGTAATTATAGAGAAAAAAAATATATTGAACTTGTGTATAAACTAAAGTCAATTTGTATACTTATACAAAAATTAAATGAAAAGAATTTCTATAAAAATTAAGAACATAAGTTGATTTTATCTTATTGAGAAGCTCAATTAATTTTATCCAACATGATGAATCTCAAATTAAGTTAATAAATCCATCTACGCAATATCCCCTTCTCAATAAAAATGAAAAATTCTGAAATTCATGTGATATGTGGTCAAAATGCAATTTTTCCATCAATTTTGCCAAGACACTACATCAAAGTTATTAAAAGCTATAAACTGCCTTGTAATCACATTCCAATTTACGTAGCATTCATGGCACCTACAAGTTCCACGTGAGAAACCAAGATTAACAACAAAATAACCAAGGGTAGTTGCATTACTATCACAAAATATTCCCTCGGCAAGCAGCATGTCCAGGTCACCCTCTAGCTACTCCATCAGTATTATAATTAACATGATGTACGTAGGGGCGTTCGGCCACCTCGGGTCGGCCGCCGAATGGCAATACTTGGTGGCCGAACGACAATCGGCCACTAGGACTGAACTATCATCACTCATTGCTCTTAACCCATGATTAGGGGTTAATCAGATGATTAAGGTGTATTACCTAATACGGTAAATACGTTGCAGGGCCCATGGTGTCCAGGGCCCATAAATGTCAGTATAATTAATAGTTCAGGTCAAAAGGTAACGTCACTGTTCATTAATTATCCTAGATATTCGAGCTTGTGCTGACTTGAGCGTTGGAGTGCCTTTTACAGGTACCAACCCCTCTGCTCTCACATCGGCTCGGAGCTCTCGTTCGGCCCGTTGACTACCAGAAGACTTAGTGTGCCGTTTAGACAGGTACATTTTGGCGCCCACCGTGGGGCCGAACGAAGACAGTTGGAAGTTTAATTGAGAAGAGTAATGCCGATAACCAGGAGAACAAACACTCAGGATCACCAAACTGAAGAACATGTTGAGGTTGTTGACGAAACAGATCTTTCTGAGGCGGTTCGATTGCTGAAACAAGAAATGGATGTGATGAAACAACAACGAGAGAAAGATGCAAGGGAGCTTTCGGCCTTGAGAGCCGAAAACGAGGCGTTGAGAAATCAAGACACCTCATGGAAACCTACTCAGGCCACGAATACGCAAACTCAGGGATCGTATCAATCCCATGCGGTCCACACCTCAGCTCCCCATGCCTCGGCAGTGGCACCTGGAAAACCCCTCTCGGCCTTACCCACCATCGGCCGTCCTGCAGACTTGACAACTATTGGATCGCACCGACACCCCTTCACTCCTACTATCATGCAACTTTCGTTGATGGATAACTGGAAATCTTTGCCTATTGATAAATATGATGGTACCACTGATCCTGATGAACATCTTGATGTTTTCTTGACACAGGTGACATTGAGCACAACTGACGATGCTGCCTTGTGTCGGATATTTTCCACGTCACTTAAAGGTAGGGCATTGAGTTGGTTTACTCGGCTCCCTCCCAATTCCATCGATTCCTTCAGCACTTTGTCATCTCAGTTCACCATTCAATTCGCAACAAGTCGCCCCCATAGTCTGACGTCCCTATCTCTGGTCAGCCTTCGCCAAGACAAGAAGGAATCTCTTCGGACCTTCATGGATCGGTTCAACAAAGCAACTTTGGAGATTAGAGACCTTTTAACCCAGCTGTGGCACTCCATCACCTTACAACGACATTGAAGCCAGGACCGTTTGTCAACAGCATTTGCAAGAAGCCTCCTTCGGACATGAATGACCTACGAAGGCGGGCCGATAAATACATGCAAATGGAAGAGTTGGCGGAATTTTGAAATCAAGCCCAGGCAGAGCAGTCGGCTAAGCCGGAGAAGCTAGAACAGACATACAGGGGGCGAGGAAAAGAGATAGCCCTTCGGGACCGACCCGTGCGAGGTCCCAAGTACTCCCATTACACCCCTCTTAATGCAAGCCGAGCTGCAATACTTGAACAAGCTTTAGCGGCAGAAGTGTTGGCGGTTCCGAAAAGAGCTTCCACTCCACCACGCGCTGATACCAGCAAAACATGTAGGTATCACCGCAATCGCGGACACTCCACTGAGGAATGTGCTGCATTAAAAGATAAAATTGAGGATTTGATTAAACAAGGCAAGTTGCATAATTTTGTGGATCGGCCCGATTCTTC